CACTCACCTCAGCCTCCCAAAGGCGTGGGATTATAGGCTGAGCCACCGAGCCCGGCTGAGGGGTGGAGTTTTTAAGGTGCTGCCAATATCCTAGTTCTTACTTGGGTCAAAGCTACATGAATGTTTGCTTTGTATTTATAATACTGTACATATGTTTTATGTTCTTTTCTGTATGCATATTTCACACACAAGTTGCCCAACTCTAGCTGGACAACTTAAGTTGGGAAAGACTTTCAGGGGGAAGAGGTTGGGTTTGGGTCTTTGTACTTTGTATTTCTAATTCTCTCTCTTTTTTTTTGAGTTGGAGTCTCACTCTGTCGCCCAGACTGGAGTGCAGTGGCCGTTCCTGGCCACCACAGCCTCGACCTGCTGGGCTCCAGTGATCCTTCCGCCTCAGCCTTCTGAGTAGCTGGAATTACAGGCATGTGCTACCATGCCCAGCTGATTTTTTGATTTATTGTAGAGATGAAGTGTCGCCAAGTTGCCTAGGTGGGTCTCGAACCCACGGGCTCAGGCAATCCACTCACCTCAGCCTCCCAAAGCGTGGGATTACAGGCTGAGCCACTGAGCCTGGCTTCTAATTCTCTTGATAATGTCCCTCCGACAACTGGAGGGGTGAGAAGGTGATACCATGACAGTGACAGCCAAGGTTTCAATTGGCAGGGTGGGGTGGGGACTCATGGAGGCCAGGGCATCCATGGGGAAGAAGCTACAAAACTAAGTATATATTTCCAAGGCAGGTACTCAGGGTCTACCGCATTGGAAGCTGTGCCATTCCATTGGCAACCATGTTGGTCAGTGGCTATCAAGTAGTTGACTCTTCATAATGGAAATTCTGCAACATACATGCACAGAATAGTTTACAAACACTTATTTACTTATTACTCGGTCTCAACAGTGATCAGGAGTCCATCAAGTGGCTTTTGTCATTTTTCCAGTGTGCTCCATGAGAGTAGCCCAGTCCAAGGAAGAATCAAACACATCCTAATGAATTTTTGTCACATTGAGATGGCATTGATTCCAAAAGCAGGTATTCATGGCTTCAGGAACAAAGAACACACACATTCCCATCTCCTGCCCCAGGTATTCCCTGGCTCCTGGCTCCATGATCATACGGTGTCTGTGTGCCAGGTGAGGACTCACTGATGGCGAAGGTGGACAGGTCAGTCCTGCTGCAGCGTGCTTCCCCAGGTCCTGCTGTGTGGATGACCCCAGTCAGAGAGAAGCCCTTTGTGAAGGGTTGTTCCTTAGAAAGAACTGGCTCCCTAACTGCGTTCTTTCGAGATGTTACCAGATTCAATACCTGCAACTCAGAAGGAAGGGCTGGCAGTTCTTACCACAAGGTGATGGGGCCCCAGCACATCTTCACACAGAGCCTGCAGCCCAGTCTGGGCAGGTCATCAGGAAAGGGAAGGTATCTTCTTCCTGTTCCCAAGTAGGGGAAGTTCTCCTGTCCTCAAGTCATCTCGCCAGCTCCAGGCTCTCACTGTCCATGTCAAAGAACAATGGTGACTTAAGCCTAACCTTGTACCTCAAGAAAGCACACATTCCTGGGGGGAGGGAAGTTTGTCTACTTTCGTGTTTTGTAATGGAACTACACTACAGGGAAACATATATGCACGTGTGCTGGGAGTCCTTAGTGGAAATGTCAAGGGTTGTCTTGACCCTTCCCAGTCCCAGTTGAAAATGGGTTGCCTGGGACAATGTCTTATTCTACTGGGGGTTTCTGTCAGTGATGTGATGAGACATTATCATGTGATCAACCTTTGTTGGCATGTACTGTGTGCAGCTCCGTGCATGTAGGCTCCACGGAAGCTGAGAGGCTCTTTCTGTAGAGATCACTGCCTGGAAAACTCAGACATCATCCTCGAAACAGAGTAAATGAGCAACGGATCCTTGCGTTCACTCTCTGTAGCTTACTAACAAAGGAGGCTGGCCTGTCATCCAACTGTGAAGCCAGAATCCCACAGACAACACACAGGGCACTTCTAGAAAGACAGGTCAAGGATGACTGTATGAAGGACAAACAGTGTACTTTTATTCTCATTTTGCTTTAAAATAAAGATACAACAGAAGTTTTATAATTCAGTATGATTAGACGTGATTTATAATTTTTAACACCTTTAAAAAAAACAAGTGACAACAGAAACAAAGAACTAGTACAAACTTTAAAACCTCTAGAGCAAAGAGAAACTACCTTTCTGATCAAAACATGTGCCACAGCTAAACTTCCCTAGAAAAATGTCTAAGTTTTCTAAGCTAAATTTTCTTAGAAAGGGTTTGTGAAAAGCCTTTAATCTTAAGTATTTAAACTATTTTTGTACCACTAAATGCCTTCACCAACTCATTAATTAAATATTTCCTAAATTTAGGAACCAATGACCAAATGGCCTGAAACATATAAGTCTTGATCTTATTTTCTCAGCTACAAAATACTAACATTTCAAAACAACAACAAAATATTTTCTAAGCACAAATACTTTCTCAAAACTTCAATTACCTCTTCTGGCTCTTCTGGCTCAGTACCTGACTGAAATGTTCAAATGTTTATATTGCACACAAAAAAATTTTGAGCAGCATACTTTGTGTGTGTGAGAAGCAGATGAAAAATAAGATTGGAAAAAACCCCTAAACTGTGTTCCATTTGCATAATTTAAATATATAGTTTCTATATCTTTAATTAATATAAGTAAAAAGGTAAATTTTAGGACAGCACAGAAATACAAATGTATTTAGAGTTTTACAAAATATATTCAACCCTTCAGACATGCACAATCTTTTAATTTTGGAGTTGCCATACAAGGGAGTACTTTCTTCGTCTTTACAGTGAAAGCAGAAGTCATGTGTACAAAGTTATATACATGAAAAGAATAAAGATCCACATTCCTTTTCTTTGTCCTTGACAAATATTTATGGAATGCTGGAAATTATGGAAAAACAATTCCAATGTTATGAAGTCCAAAGACTTGGAATGAGAAAACTCCTCACGGGACATCACGCTACATGGAACGACAATTGTCTTCGAGTAGTTAGGGCAGCATTTTCTATCACATTTAAAGGCTACCAAGGGACTGGGGGGAGAAGCCACAAATGCTGCGCCCTCTATGATCAAAGAATCAGAGCATGCAAATGTTTATGCCATTTCAAGAGGCCCAATCAACTCCCCCATAAAATAACAGGCAGTGGTTATCAGGCTACTCTCCACAACAGCTGAGCAGGTCAGTCCATGTGGTAAAGGGTCAGAACACCGCCCTGTGTGGAGCTGAAGGCTCCCAAACTCATCACCAGCACCGGAGGGAAAGAAGTCATTGGCTGTGATTTTCATGAAATATGAGATAACAACAAAACCTTCCTGCCTTGTAACTAGCAGAGTAAAATTGGAACTCCTTTCTAAAAGAATTCTTATACCTTTAGCATATGAAATACTGCTCTCAAAATACTTTCATTAAGATTTTAAACACCTTGTTCCTCAGCCATGCAACAACAACTCACTTCTCTCTCTTCCTAATTTGCTTTGTCTTTGACTTTTCAAAGGAAAGCATTCTAGAAAACATCAGATGCTTAGTATAGAACTTAGAAAACAAGATAAGGTCGAGCAAGTCACGTCACATGCTCTGGTTTGCTGCCAAAAGTATATACTGCTGCTGTGTTCCTTAACATGAAAGTGGATGAGAATTGTTTTAGGGCTGGGGGCTAGTGAATCCGAGTGAATCACTAATGGATTTGGGGATGGACTATTCATACTGTTACGTGAGCTAGTTACACACGCAAAATCATTCCAAGCCTTCTCTGAACATGCAACTTTTTCTAATCTAGTCCACCACTGGTAGCTTTAGCTTTAACTCTCTTCCTTACCTATGTCATTGTCATTACAGTGCCTAGTAGGAACTGAAGTATACCAGGGACAAATATTCCTTAAGCTGTCTGGACAGCAGTGAAGTCACTGCCAAGCTACAGATGTAGCCTGTGCGCTTGAAAAAGGCTGGTTGACCCTTGCCCCCTAAGGCCTTGTTACAAATACTCTGTTCTTAGACACAGAAGCCTTGGTAAACGTTGGGGCAAGTGTGGTCACCAAACACCACATCATTACCAATGTTATGTCAGGAGATGGCCTAATGTTGGCTGCTATGGATTACAGAGCCAGTGTTTGGAGGGAGGTTATTGCTTCTAAGCTGGCCACTCAGACGGAGGCCAGAACCCAAGCCTGAAGTATGGAGGCTCATAGGATGAGGTGCTAGGCTTCCTGTCTTCAGTCTGACAGCTGCCTTAGGGCCCCTGCTAGCAATGTAATGGTTCCATGCTCCTTGAAAACGTCACCTCCTAGAATCTGATTTGAAACACAGGTATGGTCTTCTGACCATTTCTATGATGAATATTCTGATATTCATTTTATAGTGAAAGCCAGTTAAGCGACCACTTTAAGAATCAAACTCTTAACTAGAAACATTGATCAAAGTACATATTCAAATGGGGGAACAGGTGATATTAAAGCAAAGTTAAATTTCATGTAACTATTATTTTAGTGGATTCCAAAGCATGGGTTGGACTGCTTTTGAACAGCGAGAGATGGGAGTTTACCCCAGTCAAACAAACCAAAAGACAAACCAGCATCTTTACAACTGACCCTCACACAGCTCCTAGCTCTTTGTAGTATGAACTTCTGGCAGCTGACAGGTAACAATTGCATACAAACACACTATCACACACCAACTAATGATGTGGCCTCATGAAACAACAAGATGTTAGGATGAATTCTGTCGGCCGGGCTCGGTGACTCAGCCTGTAATCTCCACACTTTGGGAGGCCAAGGCTAATGAACTGCCTGAGCCTGCACATTCGAGACCAGCCCAGGCAACTTGGTAAGACCTTGTCTCTACTATAAATAAAAAATTAGCCAAGCATGGTAGCACACGCCTGTAGTTCTGGCTACTTGGAAGGCTGAGGTGGAAGGATTGCCGGAACCCATCAGGTCGATGCTGGGGTGGCCATGAGCATGCCACTGCACTCCAGCCTGGATAACAGAGCGAGACTCCAACTCAAAAAAAGAGTGAATTCTGTACAACCTCAGTGCAACACTGATTAAAGTACCTTTTAACCTTTTTTTTTGGTACTACTTTCTTGTCTTCAAATATTTTCTGAGGTTTACTTTCTTCGTAGAAGTAGAATTAATGGAGTTCCCACTATTAAGTCCTTCAATTTGTCATCACTGAATTCTTGAGTTATCATACTCAAATAGACATTTCCTGACAGAAGTAGAATTAATGGAATCTCATTATTAAGTCCTTCAATTTATTACCACTAAATTCCTGAATTATACTCAAATGGATATATGCTTTTAGAAAACACAAACTGGAAAATTAAGGAATATTTAGATTATGTTCCTATGTTCATTTCAAATGCCTTAGGAAAATTTACTTCTTAAATAAACATTTCATAAGAAATAAACCAGATATCATCAGTACCCTCTCTATTTCCCCAATACTCTATGTCATATGTGGATTATACTCACAGTGTACTTTCCAAGCATCCTTTGTTCCTGGAGGCAGTCTGTTCCCCGTAGGTACTTCCTGAGAACACCCATTCCAGGTCCCTTTGAAAAGCAAATAAACATGGCAACCACGTGGGCTCCAGCTGTGTACAAACCATCAGTAGATGGCATACACGTACATGTGTCTAATAGGAAACCAGACGTCCTTTCTGACAGATGGCTGATGTCATGTCTGCAGCTTTCTCCTCTTGCCTCTTGCTTTGCTGAATATGAACTAACATGAAATTTCTATTTAGCATTTATGGATTATTTTGCTTTTCTAAATATTTTTAGAGAGGAGTAGGGAGTGATTACAGGAGAAGTTTTAGTCAGGGAAGTGGGAAGGTCAAATGCCTTGAAAAGCTCTATGAAGAATAAGAAAATCTGTGGGTCTGCAAATTCCCAATGGAAAACTGTTCAAAAGAAGAAACAGAAGGCAAAAACTCTGGATTTAAAAAATGCGTGTGAGAGACTGAAACATGCCTAGAGTTGACAGCATGGACACATAGGTCATTGAAAGTACTGCCCTATAGACACATTCATGTGAAGCCGCTTCAATACACTGTAACCAGCACTGTGCTATTTCTCTCCACACCTACTTGACAATTAAGAAGAGGAGGAAGCTGGGTTCGGTAGCTCAGCCTGTAATCCTGCGCCTTTGGGAGGCTGAGGTGAGTGGATTGTCTGAGCCTGGGGGTTCGAGACCCGCCTGGGCAGCGAGACCTCATCTCTACAATAAATCAAAAAAATCAGCCGGGCGTGGTAGCACATGCCTATGATTCTGGCTACTGGGAAGGCTGAGGTGGAAGGTTCACTGCAGTCCAGCAGGTCAAGGCTGCGGTGGCTGGGAGCGGCCACTGCACTCCAGTCTGGGCAACAGAGTAAGACTCCAACTCAAAAAAAAAAAAAAAAAAAGAAGAGGAAAGCACAGTAATATTCCTTGATGCCTCAAAGCAAGCTTTTAAGAATCTGTTAAGAACAGACTAAAAATATAAAACAAAAAACACTCCTCAAAATGACCATCTCTGACTTTCAGTTTTGGGGAGAAAGTAAATTGATAAATATGTGTATGTGTTTTGTTTTGTTTGAATCAGGGTCTTACTCTATCACCCAGGCTGGAGTGCAATGGCACACCCACAGTTCACTGCAGCCTTGACCTCCTGGGCTCAGGCAATCCTTCTGCTTCAGCCTTCCAAGTAGCTGGGACTACAGGCACATGCCACCATGCTGGCTAAATTTTTTAAGAGATGAGGTCTCGCTATGTTGCCTAGGCTGGTCTCAAACTCTTGGCCTTAAATGATCCTCTAGCCCTGGCCACCCAAAGTGCTGGTATTATAGGCGTAAGCTTCTGTGCTCAGCCTGATAAATGTTTTGTGGATAAAAAAATCATTATGTAATTCAGCAAAATAATAAAGGCTGGACTGTATGATCCCTTAACTTTATAAGCACATTTAAGGCCAACTTTATGAAATTAAATTAAATTTTAGAAATTAAAATAGTAATATAACTTAACTTTAGCAAATATAAATTACAATGACCATCTAGATATTCAAACAGCAAAACAGAAAATTTACATAAGTAAAAACTTTTCTAAAGTAAACAAATGTACATATCAGAACTCAAAATTCAGTAGAAGGTTCATTGTATGTTTTAATCAGGCTCAGACTGAAATAAAAGTAGTCGATTTAAACCCCAACCTGGAAGCCATCCCTGCTATGGTTGTGATTTCATCATTTTAGCATACTGCGACATTCATTTAGACAGAGGGCAACCGTCCATGTAAACAGTTCGACATATGGTCCCCTGCTGTGGACCAGTGGCTGATGAAGAACAGTCTGGGAGCAGCAGACAGACAGGAAACACTTAAACCCAAGAAAGCAACAGCAGCCTCTGTTTCCTTGCTCAAGGCTTCCCGTCCGGTGGCTCAGTGAGACTTTGGGAGGTGGAATTCGTGAAAGTAGAAAGCCACGAAGACATAGCTGTCTTTGCACTGGAAAAAGCTCCTCCAACGGAGTGGCCTAGTTGGAAAAAAGGAAAAAAACAAAAGGAAAAAGTCTTAATTTTTGTTAAGAGACAGTGAAGAACAATGTTAATAAATACGTGTTAATTCACTGGAACACACCAATATGTAATAGTAACTAAACACTACTTAAGTTTTTAGTTTCAAAAACAATCCCTTTTCGTAGGATATCTCTTACAGGAAATTGGATAATTTCTTGGTATAGGAGCCTACAGTAAGCGTTCTGAAGGTATTTAAGACTGCTTAATGCCCACAGTACAACGCTGGCTGTGTATCAGAATTACCAGGAGAGCTTAAAACGGTTCTCTTTACCTTAAATACTGAATTGATAATCGATAACCACCTAAACAGGGAAGAGGGGTTAGGCTATTTTAGGGAACTGTGCTTTGTTATCTAAAATTAAGTTTCATTAAAACAAAGATGTACAGAGCACTATCTGCCTCAGGTCTATTTTGTTTTACAGAACATTATCTCAAAAGTTGATGCTGAAGTGAAACTATTTAAGTTGAATCATATACTCTTGCTATTCTTGGAGATGGAAGTGTGGAAGAGACTTGGCCTTAGAATTTAACTAGCAGCATCACTAAAAACTAATAATTTGCCTCATGTAGCTATAAAAAAGTGTAATTATTCTATTAAAAATAATCCAAAATAGGTCAGATGCATAATATCATATGGAAACAAATACTTCTACACCAAATTCCATTCCTTTGCAATAAAACAAACCTAGCGGTAAGGCTCTATGTTCTGGGTCTGCCTCTGTAAATATGAGTCTGTGGAGTTTTTTCACTCTGTCCCTCTTCAAATACAAAGAATGCTGGGGCTATAATGACCCCACACATAAATTGCCCAGTTCTGGGGCTTTTGGATTGTGTTCAATAAGGGTGAGTCAACCTCTTTCAGGAGCTAAGGAAGACGGTATGTCCTACTTTTATAACACATTGTATGACAAAGCAAATGGGGCAAAATGCAAATAATTAGTGAACCAGAGATAACTGGGAGTTCCTTATACTTCTACAATGTTTCAAGTTCAGAATTATATGAAAATAAAATGTTAAAAGCATAGAAAAGAAGGAATGAGGAATTTCTTTAGAACTCATATGGAACAATCTTCAAAATATTTTAAGTGTAAAAAGCTAAGTGTGGAAGAGTATATACAGCATGACACTATTTGTCTGACTTTGATATTAGGGTCACTGGTCTCATCAAATGAGTTGGTGAGTATTATCTCATTTACTATTTTCTGAAACATTTTGTGTAAAATTAATATGATTGCTTCCATAAATGCTTGACAGAATTCAAAGTGAAGCCATCTGGGTCAGGACTAAATTAAAAACCTTGTGGCCAGGTTTTACATTTTTGAATTAAATTTGATAGATTTGAGGCTATTCAGATTTTCTTTCTTTTTGCATCTGTTTTGGTAATAAGAGTCTTTCAAATAAATTGTATATTTCATCTATGTTGTCAAATTTGTTGGCATAAAGTTGTTCACAATATTGCCTTATTATCTATCCTTTTAATTTCCAAAAGATCAACATCAGTAATTTGTATCTTCTTTCTTTTCCTCTTTATTGTCTCTAAAGATTTTTTCTTTTTTGAGTCAAGGACTCATTCTGATGCCCTGGCTGAAGTGCAGTGGCATGATCACAATGATCACAGCTCACGGCAGCCTCGACCTCCTGGGCTCAGACAATACTTCCACCTTAACCTCCTCAGAAGCTGGGACTACAGGTGTGCGCCACCACATCTGGTTAATTTTTTGGTTTATTATAGAGACAAGGTCTTGCTGTGTTGCCCAGGCTGGTCTTGAACTCCTGGGCTCAAGCAAACTGCCCGCCTCAGCCTCCCAATGTGCTGGGATTACAGGTATAAGTCACCATGCCTGACCAAGGTTTTATAAATATTGTTGAGCCTTTCAGAAAACCAAATGTTAGTTTCGTTCATTTTCTTTATTGTTTAATACTGCCTCAGAAGATAGCAGCTCCTAACACCTACTTTTTTTATCCATCTCTGACATTTATAAAGAACCATGGGCAGTACAGAGAATGGGGGGAAAAAGCTCTAGTAAAGCTTGAATCCTGGTAACAGTGATCTCATCAGAAAATGTTGTCTCTCTCCATTGAATGTGGTTAAGACTTGAACTTTTTTTGGTGCCACAACATTTTTTTTTTTTTTTTGAGTTGGAGTCTCACTCTGTTGCCCAGACTGGAGTGCAGTGGCCGCTCCTGGGCCTTGACCTGCTGGGCTCCAGCGATCCTTCCACCCCAGCCTTCCGAGTAGCCGGAATTATAGGCATGCGCTACCATGCCTGGCTGATTTTTTGATTTATTGTAGAGATGAGGTCTTGCCGAGTTGCCCAGGCGGGTCTCAAACCCGCAGGCTCAGGCAATCCACTCACCTCAGCCTCCCAAAGCACGGGATTACAGGCTGAGCCACCGAGCCCAGCTCACAACATTTTTAAAAAATGAATAAGACAAAATTTAAAAACCCTCTTGTATTACTATGTGATACACACATCTCTATACAACTTTATATTTTTATGTTACATACTGAGGATAGAAAATAGACTGTGCTACATGATTCCAATCTGTTCCTGGCTAAAGGCATGCCTTACCAACAGCTTTTCCTGTCTGTACAACATTCCGGCTGGTTGTGACCATGACGTTTCCAATTTTTTTGCCCCGTTCACTATTCTGAACTGAACTGAATAAAGAAAAATAGTGTCAAGTACACTTTTAAACACACACACACACACACACACACACCAGTCTATAACTATACCAAATCAGAATTACTGCAAAAAGTAGCTAAATGATCCATTAATTGCTACAAATTAATTTATTAACCTTTTAAACATGTACATTTTCAGACTGTACCAAAAAGTGATGAGGACATAAGGATGTATAGTTAACTCTCCCTGACAGTCACGGTTTGCTAAAAGTACTTCACCAAAGTAAAAATGGTAAGTAAATCCTGTTATTAGTTCACACCATTTTCTGTGGAACAGCAGTGTTTTCACTTTGAAACATACACATTGCTGAGCTAGAGAATGTTATGCACATATTTGGTTACTATTTGAAGCACAAGTCTATCAAGTGAAGAAAAACAACTCACAATTAGCAATGAGACACATGGCATAAATGCAGACATAAGAATTTTCCAGTATTTTCCGTATGTACTCACTGTGAGAATCTTAACTTCATGTCTGATACGGAGTACTGGCCTTGAAATGGATGGCTGTAAGACAAAGTTTGAGTTTAAACTATGAGTGTTTCAATAAGGCTACAAAAATATTTATTTATTATAAAAAAAATTAGTAAACCTCAGGGGCGATATAGTCGAGTGGTAGTGTTAAATTTGATATCAAGAAGCTAGGCTTTGATCACAGCTTTCCACTTATAGCTAAGAGACCCAAAAGAGATGACTAAACTCCTCTGAGCTTTAGTTTCTTCACTGGTAAAACAGAGGTTTTGTGTGTGGAGGGGGAGGATGAGGCTATGTTAGTGCTACTGTGACATTCTAATTTGATTGATCTGGGGTAGGGCCCAAGCATCAACATTTTTTAAAAGCTCCCTACGACAATTAAGGTGAGTCACTAGTCCTAGGCCATAGTCATGGATCCTGGACATCTTGTAAGTGTGTGCTATTGGTCATGTGAAGATTTGTGAATGGATCAGCAACATCCATACTTTCTTTTTGAAAAGCAACTCAAAAGGCAGGTCTCAAAAATAGTACTATCTTTATTTTTGTAAGAAAGTACATTATTCTTACTTCCCTATTTCCATTATACTAAATGATAAAAGCTTATTTTTTAAAATGCCAGGCATTCTGCAGTTAGATAGGCACTAGGAAAAAAAAAATCAGACAACTTGACCACAAAAAAGGGAAGTCAATAACTATCCAAATTCTTATGGGGGTCCCTGTATCAAAGTCTAACAAAGAAAGTGACCTGAGTGAGAGCTACAGCTAGGCTGGGTTCATTGGCTCAGCCTGTAATCCCAGCACTTTGGGAGGCCGAAACGAGTGGATCGCCTGAGTTTGTGGGTTCGAGACCAGATCAGGCAATTTGGCAAGCCCTCGTCTCCACAATAAATTTAAAAATTAGCTGGGTGTGGTAGCATGTGCCTATAGTTCTCGCTCCTTGGAAAGCTGAAGTGGAACGATAGCTGGAGCCCAGCAGGTCGATGCTGGGGTGGCTGTGAGTGTGCCACAGCACTCCAGCTTAGGTGACAGAGTGAGACTCCAACTCAAAAAAAAAAAAGAAAAAAAAGAAAAGAAAAGAAAGAAAGCTACAGCCACTTATAAAATGCTATTTGTGGTTTTACAAATGACAACAAACTGCTCTTAATACTCCAAAGTAAGCATACATGATACCTTTTTTTCTGGATTCCTGAATCACAGAGTTGAAAATATTGACATATCACATAATCATTTTCTATGTTCCTAGAATGGCTGTATTTAAGGAACGAGACATGCCTGTTGCTTGATAAGTTAAGCACTTTAAAGTGCTGCCTTTAGTAGTTGAAGAAAGGGTTTCACAGATTTCAAAAATTACAATTATTGTGAAATATTTGTAAATGACATCCTCTGATAACAACCAAAGTCTATCATTTCTTGTTTTTAATTCGTTGAAAATCTGCTGACTACTAAAGGAACTCAAAACATACTTCTTTGATGTGTTTCAAGACAGCAATTCAGAAGGGCTGGAAATACCAGAATAGCTGAGAAGCTGTCTTTCGTGGCGGAGATTTGCGTCTGTAGAGGAAATCTGCACTGACATATCTAGGAAGGACTAAGCCTGACACTTACCAAGTCTGAAATAAACATTTACCATCTATTCTTTCTCAGGGCCGCTACCTGTGAGCTTTCATCTACAAAGCAAGACCACTTTTGCTAGCCAGGTCTCCTTTTCTCTCCCTCCTATAACCTGTTTTGACCCTATAACCTGATATATCATCATAACCTGGTGTTTTTTTGTTTTGTTTTGTTTTTGAGTCAGGGTCTCACTCTGTCATCCAAGCTGAAGTGCAGTGGTACACTCACAGTTCACTGCAGTCTTGACCTCCTGGGCTCAGGCAATCCTTCTGCCTTAGCCCCCCGAGTAGCTGGGACTACAGGTGCATGTCACCATGTCTGACTAATTTTTTGTAAAGACAAGGTCTCACTATGTTGCCCAGATGGGTCTCAAATTCCTGGGCTCAAGTTATCCTCCTGCCTCTACTCCGCAAATTGCTGAGATTACAGCTGTGAGTTCACCTTGCTTTTGGCTGTTCCAAGCTCCCATTCTTTCTGCAACCTCAAGATGGTATATACAGTTCTGTACCTCATTGGGTGCTTGGGATAATCACTCTCTGGTTCTCCCCATGCACATTAATAAACTTGTATGCCATTTTTTTTCTGTTAATTTGCCTTTTGTTGGTTGGTTTTTTTAGTGAACCTTCAGGGGGCAAAGGGCAAGTTCTCCCTTGGCCCCTACTCTGTCATATCTGCATAATTTCCCTACTTATATACTTTAGTTAACAAGTCCTTCTTCAGCTTTCCTTTCTTTTTCTTTTTTGAGTTGGAATCTCACTCTGTTGCCTAGGCTGGAGTGCATTGGCACACTCACAGTCACCTCAGCACAGACCTGCTGGGCTCCCGCAATCCTTCTACCTCAGCCTTCCAAGTAGTCAGAACTACAGGCACGTGCTACCATGCCTGGCTAACTTTTTTTTTTTTTTAAATTTACTGTAGAGATGAGATCTCTCCAATTTGCTTGGGCTGGTCTCGAACCCACGGGCTCATGTAATCCACTCACCTTGGTCTCCCAAAGTGCTGGGATTACAGGCTGAGCCACCAAGTCCAGCCTATTTTTTTTTTGAGTCAGATTCTCACTGTTGCCCAGGCTGGAGTGCAGTGGCTCACAGTCACTGCAGCCTCAATCTGCTGGACTCAGGAGATCATTCTGTTCCAGTCTTCCAAGTAGCTTGAACTACAGGTGTGTACCACCACTCCCAGCTAATTTTTTGCTTTATTGTGGAGACGAGGTCTTGTCATGTTGCCTAGGCTTGTCTTGAACCCCTGGGCTCAGGCAATTCTCTTGCCTCTGCCTCCCAAAGTGCTGGGATTACAGGCGAGAGCCACCATGTCTGTTTTTTCTTTTTTGAGTAGGAGTCTCACTCTGTAGCCTAGGCTGGAGTGCAGTGGTATGCTCCTGGCCCACTGCAGCCTCGACCTTCTGGGATCAGGTGATCCTTTCTGCCTCAGCCTCCCAAGTAGCTGGAACTACAGGCAGGTATCCACACTTAGCTAATTTTTTGTAGAGACAAAGTTTCACTATGTTGTCTTAGGCTGATCTTGCACTCTTGGGCTCAAGCAGTCCTCCTGTCTTGGCCTACTAAAGTGCTGGGATTATAGGTGTGAGCCACTGCACATGGCCCTTTAGCCTTCTTTTCAACCTAAATAACCTCAATTTCTTTACACGTTTTTCTAAGCACTATTTTATAATCCTTTAAAACTCATCTCAGCTAAGGTTCTTATGGACTGGCACTAAGATTTGTAGAGCTGGTTCAAGTTAAAAGCGCCAAATGCAATGATGGATAAAGATCTGACCAGGCCTCTCAGTGCAGAGCCTGGGGGAGGAGACTGGGTGGCCCTACAAGCTAGACCGCCTGGACTGTCGACAGTCAAGGCAGACTTGCCTTTGAGCACTGCCCTGTGAAGCAGCTCACATCTGGTTCCCTTCAGCACGCTTCAAAACATAGACTTTGTAGTTAATGAGAGAGAAGACTTTGAACTTTTAGCCCTCTCATTTAATACTATTAAAATGGTTTTTGCCTTTTAATTCTGTTTTTACTACATTCAAATGGTAATACAGGTTTCTGCTATAGCTAAGTATGATGATTAAATTCCCTGCAATTGGTGTTGAATCTAGTCATTTTTAAAAAAGAAATGGGGTCTCATTATGCTGCTCAGGTTGCCCTTGGAGTTCTGGCCTCAAGCAATTTTCCCTCCTCAGGCTCCAAAGTAGCTGGGACTATAGGCACACGTCACCCCACCTGGCTCCCTAGTCATTTTTCTCTTTTCTTTTAAAGACATGGTCTCGTTCTGCCACTCAGGCTGGAGTGCCGTCGCATGATCATAGCTCACTGCAGCCTCAAACTCCTGGGCTCAAGCAACCCTCCTGCCTCGGCCTCTTGAGTAGCTGGGACTACAGGTGTATGTCACCATGCCCAGCTAATTTTTTTTCTTATTTTTGTAGAGATGAGGTTTCACTAAGGTTCCAAACTTCTGGCCTCAAGCAAGTCTTCCATTTCTGCCTCCCAAAGTGCTGGAATTACAGGTGTGAGGCACTGCGCTTGGCCCATTTTTTTTGCTAGATGACATAAAGCTTAACAGACACGTTATCCAAATCCCTTCCTCACTACCCCACTCATGCAGATGATTCCTCAAGTTGGTATGGCTTAAATTTCTAGATTGTGTGTGTGGTGGAGGGAATATTCTTTCTAGCATAACTTAAATCATATTAGAAAAGTTAACTCTGGCCCCCAAATTATATTTTAGTCAGTACAAAGTTGACTTTTGTCTGTTTATCACCAGGAATTTTAAAATACAATGAAAATAGTATCATATAATTTTTTAAAAAAGAAAAAATACACACATTATGAGGGGGAACCCAAAAAATTGAAATTTTTTTAGAGTACTGGCTTCCCCTGCTAGGTAAATATTCTTGTGGTACTGGCTTCAAAAAAAAAAAAAAAAAAAAAAAAAAAAGGCAGAAGTACTAAAAGGCATCAAAATTAACAAGTTCAAAAACTGTTTTGGGTAGTAGAAAAACTGTTTCGATAGGTGAATTATATCAAATGGAGAGTACTTTGAAGGTGACCAAAATTTAAACATGTAAGAATACAACTTTTTTTTTTGAGTTGGAGTCTCGCTCCGTCGCCCAGGCTGGAGTGCAGTGGCATGTTCACAGCCACCCCAGTGTTGGCCTGATGGACTCAGGCGATCCTTCTGCCTCAGCCTTCCAAGTAGACAGAACTATAGGTGCGTGCTACCACGCCCAGCTAATTTTCTGATTTATTGTAGAGATGAGGTTTCACCAAGTTGCCCAGGCTGAATACATACTTTTTTATAAATAAGTTCCGTTTTTGGGGTCCCCTCTAGTATTTTAATCTTTTAATTCAGAATTTCCAGGATGCACACATTATATCAACTGATCTCCACAGACACTGCTCTGTGGTGTTCACACACAGATGTTACTATTTCATGATGGCCCCAATCCACAGTGTATCTTTTAGGCCTATGTGGGTAAAACCTTCATCCAGCCAACATTTAGTATTGTAGTAGGTATTAAATTTTATTATATTTTAGAATCTGATGTGAAAACTAGTTCTGACCACATATAAAGGAGTCTAAATATTAACTATAATTGGTTTTTCATACTTCATTTTCTGAAATAACCTCCTAGCTTTAAACTAGTGGTATTTCCTTCTAGGCTTCTATCTAGAGAAAAGGGGAGAAGAATCATCACATACTGAGCATCACTAAATGCCAGGGACTTCCTCTCTAAATCACACTGGGAGCCAGAGAAATATTAGTGCTTCCAATAATGCCTAATGCTTTTTGTATAAAGAATTTGAATGTGGAAGCAGCTTCTGAGCTGTTTTTCTATATTTGAGGGTCTTTTTATAACCTACTTAAGGAGATTCTCGAAGATGTTCACAATACTTTAGTTAAAATATAATTTTCTTTGTATCGGGCACTTAGTAAACTAGCTATTTTATATACTATCAATCTTTAGAAAATGTGCTTACTTTGGATTTATTTCTGCAAGTGCTGGATGCTTGTTGCTGTTCCATACTCTGTAGTTGTGAGTATTCTTCCATGCTGTAACAAAAGTCGTTCCATAGTCTGATAGTATCTTTTCGTTATCTGTCAAGTAAATATTTGAAAGAAGTTGAGCTAGATTGTAACCATTCAGGGATGTGAAGATTAACAACCAAAAAGGGAAAAGGAATGGTTTTAACCCCCCACCCTCCCATATTTGGGGGGAGATAGCCTACCAGATGTCAGGAAACTTGGGTCTAGTTCCAGAAATCCTGTTAAGAAGCTATGTGGCCTTTGGCAAGTCACTTAATCACTCAGAACTTCATTTTCCTAACTGGAAAATAAGAGGGTTGAGCCAGATATTTTCCAAGGTTCCTTACAGCTCCAAAATATTTCCCATGTTCTCCTTACTATTATGAGGCTAGCATTATTTATTAAATAAAAACTATAGGCTTGACAGTGAATAAACATACTGATTTATGCATATGAAATAGGCAATTAGGCTATTTTTCTCTCTTTTCACAAATGTCATTTTTCTATGAAAAAAGGCTAAGAATGGGTACATGAATTGGCTCTTTCAGTCACTGTTTTCTTTCTCTGTCTCACTTGTGTTAATTCTTGAGTTTCCCAGCATTTCATTGTCAAAACTACTTAACATTACAATGATGATTTACATATTTGATACTTAAAAGTTTTTCAGCCTTATCAATACCACAGGAAAGCTTCCATGCAGAGTGTTTCCTCCACGTGGAAGAATAAATGGTTTGAAGAACTTCTGCACATGACCACTGCTTCATATATTAACTGCGTATTGTTAGCTTTGAAGGTGAAATACAAAGTACCTTTCGTTGCTGGCAAAGGAAAGAGAAGGAATACACAGTCCTCTATGCAGCATAAAGAAGTTCTAAGAACATATTCCTCAAGCGGTTCATGGGCTGAATTTCCTCTCCTGACCTTGTTAAGAGTATGGGCCTGTGCCAGACAGTTTGGGATAAAATTCCATCTCGGCCTCTTGCCAGAGGGATGAGCAAGCTAGTTAAACCTTTCTGTGCTTTCTTTTCTCTTCTGTAAAATGACGATGACAAGGTATCTATCCAACTCCAGGATTGTTGTGAAGATGAAATGAATTGTTAGACACAAAGTGCTCAGACACTGATCCCTGCACATTTTTTTTTTGAAATAAAACCAAAATATTTATGTGTAATTTTTAGTATATTTCTTGACAACTTTTTTCAGTGAAAATCACTGAGAAAATGACTAAATACAGTATGTTTCGACATCTAAAACATGTACAGAAAACCTGAAAAAGCTTTCACTATTCATCAAATCCTAAGTCAGTTATGATGTCATATCAATAAAGACTTTTTAAAACCAATTTTATTTCATAACTACAGTTTGTAACATTTGCCACTGAGGAGTTAAATGATTATTATTTTATTTTTATCTAGCTACACAACAAGCAAATTCTAAAGCATCTTTATCTATAGAATCCATATATCAATTTCTTAAAATTTTGTTTTGGGGAACAGAGAGCAGGGCAGAGAAGAATGAAGAGAAATGGGTGGGATAATAAGTTTTCAACACACACCTACTGTCTAAACAACTGAAACCTACTGTCAAAAGTTTTAGAAACAGCCCTAATTTCCACAGTACTCAAAGTCATTTAAGCAAATCACACAAAATGAGTTGCTCCAAGCGACAAATTTCTCGATATTCAGCTCACTACAAACTGTCTAGATGCCACTAAATATATAGTGTTATGAAGCACAAACAAGAATGCTAGTAGATGGCTCAAACACATGTATCACTACTTTGCATATTACCATCTTAATAAACTCACACTGTATCACTGGATTTCAATAAGTAACTAGACATTCTATCCATGATTTCAGTAAGTAACTAGACATTCTATCCATGACTATCTCTAGACATTTGTTTTAAGCTCAAATCCTGGCTGTTTGCCACACATCTGCTGTCATTAGCAAAATTAAAACTAATTTTACAAAAATTTAACACATCTGAATGCTCCTTAAAAACTTAAGGATTCCTCAGCAAGTCTTTGCTTCTTAATGAGCTGTGCCTGTCTTTATCATGTGGTTTGAATTATTCAAAACTCAATCTCAAATCCTTAAATATACAAATTACCTTTCAATCAAGCAATTACTTACTGTCTATCTGATGGCTAACAAGGTCTAATTTGGCCTAAGCAAATCTTGAAAAATTGAGCCCAAAATAAAACTGTCAATAAACAATGTATTTATAATATAAGAAAATAAACTAACATTTTTATTCTAGGTAGCAAGGAAAAAGAAACTCAGTCATTGATTTCAATTTCAAAGATTCTGTATAGTAGAACATTAAATATTTTTGCCTGAGTCTATGTTCACCTCAGAAGAGCTCTATAATACATTTTACCATTACTTACATTATTTCATCACCTGTTTCTTTTCTCTTTACTATGCTCTAATAAGCATGCTTATTTCTGGAAACTAGGGACTCACTACACTCTGCATTCCTTCATCCTATAATATCAAACTGTCGCTCAATATTTAATTTTTTTTTTTGAGTTGGAGTCTCACTCTGTAGCCCAGACTGGAGTACAGTGACCACTCCCAGCCACCACAGCCTCGACCTGCTGGACTCCGGCGATCCTTCCGCCTCAGCCTTCCGCCTCAGCCTTCCAAGTAGCTGGAATTACAGGCATGCGCTACCATGCCCGGCTGATTTTTTGATTTATTGTAGAGATGAGGTCTCACTGCCCAGGCGGGTCTCGAACCCGCGGGCTCAGGCAATCCACTCACCTCAGCCTCCCAAAGGCGTGGGATTATAGGCTGAGCCATCGAGCCCGGCTTGTCCCTGCACATATTAAATGTTCAAAAAATGTGAGCTACTGTTATTGTTCAGCGCTTATGGCCTCCTGGGCAAATCTTCCAAAAAAGTAAGTTAATTATTCATGAAGTTACATGACTGCAGAAATTGGCATTTTCTTTCTAGATTACTGAATAATTCTAGGTTAGAGGATTTAATTTTGAGCTGCTACATTTGTAGTGGTGGCAGACATTTAAACATATCCCATTAACAAATGAAGACTTGCTCCTTAGCTTTCCTTTACACATGAAAAACATACCCGTAGGCTGGTTTAAAACTCCATATATGATATGTGAAGAACTAATCTGGGAGGAGGTGGTGGTAGGGGGTTGGATTAAAAAAAAAAAATCTACTGATACAACAATGCGAATGTATTCAATGCCACTATAGAACTGTACATTTAAAAATGGTTAAGATGGTAAATTTCATGTTATATGTCTTTCTTTGTCATTCATAAAATTGTAGTTACAATGATTGAAGGAAAAAACACAAGCTCAACACACTTTTAACAATAACTCTACTGAATTCATACCAAATGTCCAAGTTGGAAAGCTCATTGCAAAGCTCCATTTCCACTTTTTATATATTTTTTTCCTAAGGGAAACGAGATAATTTTAATATAGGAGTGAGTCCTTGTCCCATTTTAATGATTTAATAGGAATAATAATAATATTTCTTAAAACAGGGTATAAATGTGAAGGTTTAGTCATTCACAGTGTGAGTTTCAATGATTTCTATTTTTCATATTTCTCTTTTCTCCCTTTACAGATCTTAAAAACTTGTAGACAGAACTTATAAACAGTTGCCAAATATAGATATATCCTTCCATACAATGGAATATGCAAAAGTATGATATATGTTCATGTTACGCTGATATATATGTTCATGTTTCTGTTACAAAGTTAAGAAAAAGTAAGCTTCAGGAAGTATGTGTAAAAGAGTCCATTTCTGCAAAAGGACCACCAAAAATACCATAAAATCAAAATCTAAAATAATTGTATAGAAAAAGATCTGGATGGATATAAAATACTCAAGATATTAGGAATTGTTGTCTCTGAGGGAATAACTGGTAATTTTTCTATAGTGAATATGTATTTTTTGTGTAATTCAAAACTAATAAATGTCATAAAATGAAAAATTACAACAGAAAAGGTGGCTGTGTGCTCCACATGGTTTCTTACCTAACTGTAGTGTGGCAGCCAGCAGGGCATGGATGTAGACTGCAAACTGGGCCCGGATCCATTCATCACCTCCCTCCCAGCCCGTGCCGTCCAGGAAGACGTCATCCCGGTTCTCGGTCACGTGTCTCACCAAGTAGTCTGCGAACCTTAGGTCTGCAGTGGTTGGGTTAAGCAGCTTCCTGAGTTCTGGATCATGGATCTGGATCAGAGCTTCTTCTACCTAGAGGGTATCCAGGTACAAGTCAGAGTCTGGGCATTCACGCAGATATCCAAGCCATACTTTAAAGAGTAACTACTGGGAAGTTGGAGCTGGAAATAAAAAATATGAATAACAGCATTCTCAAAAGGTGAGTCTAAGAAAGAGACAGGTTTTTACATCAAAATTTTTTTTAATTTTAAAAATGCTCATTTTCAGTTTTTAGAAAATACATGCACAAATATATAATTTAGAATTATACAAGTAATTCATATAGATTGCAAATATTTGGGAAAACACAGAAATACATGTGTAGTAAAAATCACTTTTATTCACTACCAGAAATGAATAAACCTAATGAGAATAATTCTTTAAAACATTTTCTTTTGAGTAGAATATTCTTATTATATAATATTTGATATACAAAGAAATATGTGTAATTTATAGATTAGTTTTGAAGTATAATAATAAAATAAATACCCATGAACCCACCAGCCAACTTCAGAACTAGACTGTAACCAATAATGCTGACACAATTCTGGTCCTCCCATCTGCATCTTGGAAGGTGTATTTTTTTTTTTTTTCAAAATTGAGATTATAGGCCGGGCTCAGTGGCTCGGCATGTAATCTCAGTACTTTGGGAGGCCAAGATGAGTGGACTGCCTGAGCCTGCGAGTTCCAGACCAGCCCGGGTAACTTGGCAAGACCTTGTCTCTATAATAAATAAATAAATAATTAGCTGGGAGTGATAGTGCGCGACTGTAGTTCCTGCTACTTGGAAAGCTGAGGTGGAAGGATTGCCAGAGCCCAGCAGGTTGATGCTGGGTTGGTCGTGAGCATGACACTGCACTCCAGCCTGGGTGACAGAATGAGACTCCGACTTAAAAAAAAAATTGAGATTATAATACATATTGGTTTGAATCCTGGATTTTTCATTTTATTATAAGCATTTTTCCAAGAAGCATGTTATGGTACTATCTGTCAGAAACTACAAAAAAATCTTAGGTTTGGGCTGAAATTTATTTTTTCTTTTCTTAAAAAATTGCTTCACTTGTAAAATTAAACAAATGATTTAAATTTCTTATATGCTGATAAGATGTCAAATATTTATTCTTAACTTTCTTGTCTTGATATCAGAAGCTTATTAAACAGGCTAGAAGGATTGAAATTATTTAAACAACAAACACATTTTATTCAATCATGAGGTCATAGGGGGCCCAGTTGCCCAGGCAGAAATCCTAGCTCACTCATTTACTGGCTGTGTGATATCATGTAAGTCACTTAATCTCTCTGTTTCTTAGCCTCCACAGGTGTCAAATATGAAAAGTAACAGTACATCTACTGAGGTGTTATGAGAATTAGATCAGTTAATATACACATGACACTTAGGATACTTGGTATACAGTAAGCAATTGCTATCATTATTAGTGTTGTTACTGTACCTTCATAGTTACACTTAAGAAAGGAAAAAAGGGACTAGCAGGGTCAAGTACACACTCACACATAAACGTACTTCCACAATGGCATCACTGAGGTGTTTTTGTTGTCGAAAAAGGATGTTAGTAGCTCCAGCAACAAATCCCCGAACGGTGACATCAGAGAGAAGATGATGCTGCTGCAGTGCCATGTAGGGCAAACACAGATATCCCTATGAATTACAAGAGTAACAGAAAACATTAGAAAAGTGAAAGGATCTCTCTTTAAACCTAGAGAGCTAACAATATGTAGGAAAAGAAACTCCCATTCTTCCCTGCCCTGTCCCTACGTCAGCTAATCTTTGACTTACTAAAATAATATTCCAGGGGAACCTCAGGTCTTGACTGCAGTAAGTCCAGTTAACAATAAGCTAATCTTCTTCACAAATGATCAAATTCTGACAGGTGGTTTAACACAGATTTTACTTGATCACTTTGCTCTGGGTTCAATCTAATTATTTTTTGAGTGCAGGATCTCATTCTTGCTGCAACCCCAACCTCCTAGGCTCAGGTGATCCTTCTGCCTCAGCCTCCTAAGTAGCTGGGACTATAGGTATGCGCCACCACACCTGGCTAATTTTTATTTTTTGTAGAGACAAGGTCTATGCTGCCCAGGCTGGTCTTGAACTCCCAAGCTCAAGCAATCTTCCAGGGCTCAAGCAATCCTTCCGCCAAGGCCTCCCAAAGTGCTGGGGATTATAGGCATGAACCACTGCACCTGGCCTCAAAGTACTATTAGAGAATAGTAAGGCACGTCATAGCATTTGCTTTATTGTCCTATTGTTAAAAATCATGGAAAAAGATTTCAAGATATTTTCTACTAAATATTTAAAGCAAAAATGATACCAGCATTAGTTGTGTATTTAATTAATTTCCATTTGAACTGTATTTGAAAATAGCGCTGCCCTGAAAATTATGCTTGAATTGCTAAACCGTAGTGGGCATTTAATGAGAGTAAAGGTGTTAACATTGGAATGATTCACTGAAGGAGAATATGGGATTTCTGCTGAAAGATTCTAAATCAGAATAGGTTTTCAACAAGTGACATGATTTGTTTATGTAGCCAGGAGAGCAGACTTGCTAAGCCTCTGAACTTGTTTTTAGCTTCAAGTTGTGTAACAGTTTGTTTTTTTTTAATGTCTCATCACTTTTCTAAACCTTTGAATTATCATTATCTGGATAATGTCCTGTTTACATCAGGAGATACATCTCTCTAAGGGTGAGAGATATCCCTTTTGCTGCTTCATATTCTTCACTGCAAGAGAGCTCTGTGTATACCCAAGAGGTGGCTGTTAAGTACTTAGTATGAGAGGGAAGATTTCCAAAAGTTGAAATATAGGTCTAGTAGTTTGGTTTTATCCTTATTCTTGACAATGTCTCCCCTGCTTGATAAAACCCTAACTAACAGAAGCAGCAAAAATAAATCCATGTCTGTGAATCAGAGAAGTTCAGCACAGAGCTTCTCAACCCCGGACCCTTGTTACTAAAGGCTGACAGGACCCCTGTTCCTCATTCAGAATCAATCAAAACAGCTGTTTCAGGGCTCACAGTTCATGCCTGATGGTGTGTGAGGCTTATTTAGAAGCAACAGAAACCCTCTCCCACAATCGCCTGTTTCCACACATAAACATCACAATATCAAATGCTCTTTCCAACTTGATGGGGGCCCTACAGAGCATCCACTCCCACAGCTAGGGCTGAGACTCCTTGATATGGGCTTTCAAATCAGAACTGCCAATTATTACAAAAATTTATATTGCAAAATAGTAGTAAGAGACTTAACACAATTGTTCACAGTATTATATTTCATAATTGATTCTGTTAGAGAAGAAAAGTCTATTGATCAACAGTGGGATTCTTGGCTAAGTTTACAATAGCAACAAAACTAAAATGGGTGTTAAAAAAAATAGTTCAAAGCTGTTAAAAAACATTTAAAAAATTATTTTAAAATTGTAAGGCAACCCCTCAGGCCCCCTTCCACTCTGGGAGCTTTTCTGTCCTCTCAATAAATCCTGCTTTTATAAAAAAATAAAAATAAAAATTATAATTGGCCGAGCACAGTGGCTCAAGCCTGTAATCCCAGCACTTTGGGAGGCTGAGATGAGGGGATTGCCTGAGCTCACAGGTTCGAGAACAGCCTGGGTAACTTGGTGAGACCTCATTTCTACAATAAATCAAAAAATTAGCCTGGCGTGGTAGTTCTGGTTACTTGGAAGACTAAGGAGGTAGGATCGCTGGAGCCCAGCAGGTCGATGCTGAGGTGGCCGTGAGCATGCCACTGCGCTCTAGCCTGGGCAACAGAGTAAGACTCCAACACACACACACACACACAAATTATAATTATACATACTTTTTGGCCCAGCATTCTACTTGTAATGTATCCTACAGATATACCTGCTCCTGTGTGATAGTATGTTTATGAAAAGTTATTATTACAGCACTGTTTGTTACACCAAAGACTCCCCACTGTTCATGAATGGGGAACTAAATAAGTGTTCATCCATACAATGGAATATCCTGTAGCCATAAAATCTGATGATGTTCATCTCCAAAGAAGATTATTTTAAAAAGGGATAAGAGGCAAAAAAAAAAACAAAAACAAAAACAAAATAGGCATGCTGTGCTACTATTTGTGTAAAAAGGGACAGGAAAATATCTATGTATTTATATTTGCATAGAATACCCCTAGGAGGAAACTAAGACTGAAAATGTTGGCCGCCACTGGAGAGGGCAGCTGGACAGCTGGGGATGGATTGGAAGGGAGATGTTTTACTAGAAATGCTTTGGAATCTTTTGAATACTGAATTATGTGGAGGTATTACATATTTATAAAATTATTTAAAATATTAGTTCAAAATAACTTTACACTTATACCATTACTTTTCATAATGATCACCTTAGCCTAAGTCATTGAAAACCTTAATGTATGGTGGCAGCAAGAGCATGAGTACTTTCTTTTCTTTTCTTTCTTTTTTTTTTTAAAGAAAGCAGGATTTATTGAGAGGACAGAAAAACTCCCACTGTGGGAGGGGACCCAAGGGGGTTGTGCCTGAGCATGAGTACTTTCACACAAAGTAGCTGCCACATTCAAACCCACCCCTGGCTTTTCCCTTTTCTAGGGTGCTTTAACATCCATATTTGAAACTGCAGTATATAATGGTTAAAAAGGAAAGAAACCCCCTCCAAACATATTGATGAGATACTTGCACATCCGTGTTTCATAGCAGCATTATTCGCAATAGCCAAGAGGTAGAAGCAACCAAAATATCCATTTGAATGAACTGATAAACAAAGTGTGGCATACACATACAATGGAATGTTACTAAGCCTTAAAAAGAAAGGAAATCCTGTCCCATGCTACACATGTGAAGCTTGAGTACATTATGCCAAGTTAAATAAGCCTGTCACAAATACCGTATGATTCCACTTATATGAGGTACCTAAAGTAATCAAATTCATAGACCTAGAGAAAAATGGTGGTTATCAGGGTGAGGCAGGGAATAGGGAGTTGTTAAATGGGTATAGTTTCAGTTTTTGTTATTTTTATTTTTCAGTTTTCCACCAAGAGAATCAGAATAGTTTCAGTTTTGTAAGATGAAAAAGTTTTGAGATTCATAGCACAAAAATGTGATATAGTTATCACAATTGAACTATACATTTAAAAATGGTAAAATTGGTAAATTTTATGTTAATTTTTTTTTACCACAGTTAAAAAACAAACAAAAACACACCTCAAGGTGGTAGAATTATTATGAACTGATCTGCTGAAGAGCTGCAAGACCATAGTGTGCCATCTCTCATGTGACTTGGAAGGGGCTACAATATGATCAGGACCAACTCCCATTATGCCATTTCTAGTCAGGGACAATAAGCATGTTCATGCACTGGAAGCCTGCATATTGTAGGGATGTCAAGTGTCTCCAAAACGTTAAATCCCTATCAAAATCTCAATCTGTGAGTGAGAACTTAATAAGCTAATTCTAAAATTGATGTGGAAATGCAAAGGGCTAAGAAACTCTTGAAGAACAGTAACAAGACAGAAGACTTTCTCTATCCATCATGACTTACACGGCATAGTATGGGGACAGACACAGGGATAAAGAAACACATCAATTGAGCAAGAACAAAACCGTCCAGAAATAGACTCCCTTTCCCAACCAAACATAAAAATCAGTTCCAGGTAGATAAAAACCAAAATGTGAAAGTCAAAACTATAAAGCTTTTTTTTTTTTGAGTTGGAGTCTCACTGTCATCCAGGCTGGAGTGCAGTGGCACGCTCATGGCCACCACAGCCTTGACCTGCTGCGCTCAAGCCACCCTTCCACCTCAGCCTTCCAAGCAGCTGGAACTACATGCATGTGTCACCACACCCAGCTAATTTTTTGATTTATTGTAGAGATGAGGTCTTGCCAAGTTGCACAGGCTGGTCTCGAACCCTTGGGCTCAGGTAATCCTCTCGCCTCTGCCTCCTAACGTGCTGGAATTACAGGCATTGAGTCACTGTGCCTGGCAAAACTATAAAACTTTTTTTTTTTTTTTTTTGAGTTGGAGTCTCAGTCTGTTGCCCAGACTGGAGTCAGTGGCCACTCCCGGCCACCGCAGTCTCGACCTGCTGGGCTCCAGCGATCCTTCCACCTCAGCCTTCCAAGTAGCTGGAATTACAGGCATGTGCTACCACGCCTGGCTGATTTTTTGATTTATTGTAGAGATGAGGTCTCACTGCCCAGGCGGGTCTCGAACCCGCGGGCTCAGGCAATCCACTCACCTCAGCCTCCCAAAGGCACGGGCTTACAGGCTGAGCCACCGAGCCTGGCTAAAACTTTTTAAAAAAATAATATGGAGATTTTCTTTATGACCTTGAGGTAGGGAGGGTTTCTTAAAACAAGAATCCCCAAAAAATGAACTTTCAAATAAAATACTAACAAACAGAAAAGTTATCTAAAATATATAAAGAATTTCTACAAATCACTGACACTAGGAAGACAATCCAAGAAGCTTTGAACCAATACCACGCAAAGGGAAATCCAAATGGCCAACAAGTATATGAAAAGGTGTTGAGCCTCAATAGTGATTATCAAAAAATGCAAACTAAAAATTGGTAAGTCTGATAATATTAAGTGTGGTGGGAATGTGGAGCAATGGAAACTCTCACACACTGTTTGTGGGAATGAAA